AAAACACATAGTTAATCATGTTAACAGAGACAATGCGAATAAAAGATAATATCTACACTTTTCTCATAGTATGAGGGGAAAGACATCAAAATTGGAGTAACATGTATTATCTTGTACTGTTTTCTGTCAAATCTAACACGATGACATAAAATAAACCAGGACTAGTTACCTCCCTTTACCATAAGGTTTCATAAGTCTTCTCCAAGAGAGTAAAGTTATAGATAGTTATAGACAATTAAAAGAAGAACTATATCCGTCAAATAATCAAAATTATATTTACCATCAAAGAAAGAATCCGAACTGCCATCATCACTGGCTTTGTCATGACTCAACATTAAATTTAACATTGCCGCAAGACAATTAATCTAAGTCACGTGATAACACAACAGACTCAACCGCCTTCCGCAAACCCCTCAACAAATATGTTAAGGACCATGGCAGAATATACCAAGAGGTTAGGAAGTGTAACCTTGAATGTACGTTAAGAGTACAAGAGTTGTCTCCCTTGAGGCAGTTGCCATTTCTGCAAAGATCATGCCACCATGTTAACAGCCAATCCATGACAGTGCTAATCCAGAAAATCTACAGCATGTCAAGAATCTTTGAGATGAAAAGACATTCTGGCAAGAAATGTAAAACTTTTAATAGGAAAGACAGTACCTTCGACCAGCCTGTATCAAGCTGACGGCACAGCTGTTCATAACAACCACCAGTTCTTGTCACTTGTATGACACAAGTTGTATCACCAGCTCTAAATACTGGGACCAGCTACAAGAAGGGCAAATCAAGTAAACCGGGCACCCAACAACAAAGAGTATATTGTTATCATGTTTATCATTACTCTCTGTTTTCAGAGATGTGTATACCTTTCTCAATCATTGTTGAACCAAAATGATGACGTGATGCTATTGTTGCAGTTCACTTTGAGCCCTGAATTCCCTGGCTATTCTGAATGTGCATTTTAACAAGAAAAAATGAGTGAGTGAGTTGGGTTTGACGCCGCTTTTAACAGTATTCCAGTTATATCGCGGCGTGTCAGCTTAATGTGTGAGGAAAGCCCGAAGTGATGCAGGTCTCAGACGTTAACCACTTCAGTGAAACCCACGAGCACGGGTATGGTGCTGACAAACCTAGAACATAATCAACCCACAATCATAGGTTTCTGGAGTGCCCAAGGGACACAACTCTCCACAGCAAATTGCGGCGCCCTAGACGACTGGGACACCTGTGCCCCCCAAGGAAAAATGAAGAAACTATAGGTTATTATACAAATTCTAGAGCACTCATATACACTGAATCAACATGGTTTAAGTTGGAGAAATCACATGAATCTGTTCATTCCGGACATAACTTCAAGCGATTTCTCCATAATTTAATTTTCCAACAATATACTTTTCAAAGCAGTTAACATACAGTCTGGCTGACCCATGTGGTTTAAAGACTGTTCAGTGTAAATAAGGTCAGCCATTTATACCTTTCTAAAATTGTAACAGGAAGATCGATGATCCAAGTAAAAACAAAATGTTGCACTTTGAAATCTTGAACAAAGTTCTTGGTATTTCCACAAGCATATACTCAAGTGACACAACAACAGGCCTGTACCCTGTGGCTCTGAACGCTACACTCACATCATTGTGCCTGGTCCAAATCAGAATGCTGTGAGATGCAGATAAAATAATTCTTACCCTTCATGGACTAGTATGCCGGAAACATCAAATTCAGTTCACATTTTTTCCTTCAAATCTAACAACTGTGCCTTTTATGAGATTGAATTCTGATCTATTTTACAAGAACATCGATGTGTGCAAGTATACACAAACACGTTAAAGATTCGTTGAGCGTGCACATGTAGTAACTAGGCACTATGTTTTCAATCAAATACAATACAATACAATATAATACAATACAGTGATATGTATGAATAAGGTTATATGTTGTGATGAAAGAACATCAACAAACTACTGCATATATACACAATTATCAAATCATGTATAAAAAGACATAAAAAAGGAAACATAAATAGAATAAAATATCAGTTTGTTTCTTATACTTGGCACTGACTATCTGATCAGCTTGAACACAGAATTGGTACCAGTTATGTACGTAAAGTGGGTGAACAAGTATAATAGGAATAAAAAAATCATATTCGGAGATAAACATAAGTTATTGTGGTATGAAAAAGGAGATAAAACCTGAAGTTTGAATAAATAAAAGAACTGAATTACAACATTTGTTCCTCACTACAAGATGTACTGGGTATGCTATACACAAAGGAACTCTCAAATATACAGTCCGCTTATATACACCAACAAAATCAATGCTATCATGCCTCTTCAGTACCATTCATCACAGTTTCTGAAATCCACAGCTGAAAGGTTCGTTCCACGGTTCAAGACAAGGTTCAGCTACGAGGTCCGCACAAAAACATATGCTAGGATAAGTAAGCGAGTATGGTTTTACGCTGCTTTTAGGAATATTCCAGCAATATCACGGCGGGGGACACCAGAAATGGGCTTCACACATTGTACCCATGTCGGGAATCGAACCCGGGTCTTCGGCGTGACGAGCGAACGCTTTAACCACTAGGCTACCCTACCGCCCCTATGCTAGGATAAGAATGACAAGTTTTACTTTAAGCTCTTGGTGAATAATCAGCACCATCATAAAAAACCTTTACATAACTTTTACCTTCATCCCAGTGTGTCATCATCCTCATCCTGAACGTATCACCAACATGTTTGCCACCATCACCTTACTATCCTTATATGTGACCCACCAGGAGTGAGTGAGTGAGTGAGTGAGTGAGTGAGTGAGTGAGTGAGTTGGGTTTAACATTGCTTTTTACAGTATTACAGTTATATCGCAGCGTGTCAGCTAAATGTGGGAGGAAACCCCAAAGTGATGCAGGTCTCAGACGTTAACCACTTTGGTGAAACCCACGAGCACGAAACCTAAGAACATAATCAGGGCGAACCTGGATTCACACCCACATTCATAGGTTTCTGACGTGCTTAAGGGACGCAACTCTGCACAGCAAATTGTGGCGCCTTAGACGACTGGGCTGTAAACATTACTTTTGAAGAAATCAAAACTGATTCAATATTAATTGACACATGGGTTGGCCTAACGTGTAGGGTAGTGTCAGGTGTATATCAGTGAATCATGACACAGCTAGACATCTCACATAACTGAAATGACATGATTACACAAGAACCTCACAGCTGTCGATTCCAGTAACATTGTCTGCTGTTGTGTAACCTCTTCAATACATCCTTCACTCACACAGACAGGGAGATACTGACGACTACACAGGTACACAACTGTTTGTTCAGTACTACAGATGTGACAGAATAGATGATTGTACTTAACTAACCCGTAAAAGTCCAACTGACAAATGTGCACATTTAAACAAGACAGAAGTTGAGATAAATCAGATTTAACCAATAACAAGACTTAAATTCACAAACAGAAATGGGTATATCAATCTCAAAAAACTGATTTACAATTGCCTCAAAGCAGTGGGTACACTTCTTAGAATAGACACTATTTAATAACAAATCATGAACAAATCTGTACTTTTGACAATTCTTCATTACATTCATAACATTGAAACATTAAAAGATAATTTCAAACTATTCTGTTTTTGTGATTACTGTATTGATCCTTAATATGTAGTAAACGTCCAACCTTTGAGATGTGCCTTTAAGCTCCTCTTATTGTTTCCATCAATATACCCAAAAAAGAAATTTCACAAAAGGTTACATACACACTATACAAAATTTAACATACAAAAGTCAGTTCTGGTTTATTGTTATGAATAATGACATTTATCATCATCAGTACTGTCTGTTTTCAAAAATAAGTTAAATATGTTATAAATATTAGGTAGCATATCATTTCTCTCTCTGCAAACTTGTTATATGCCAGATAATGAAGTTATAATTTATCATAACTTAAATATAACAAAAACACAGTTATGACAACAAATTATTACCTTATCAGAACAAATTATTATTAATAATTTTTTATTCACAATTATCATTAGCTATGTACATACACTATAAAACACTGAAAATAACTTGGAAAACATCTCTATTAAATATATAATTGTTTCAAAATTTACACACACAAAGAACGAATAAAATTGTAAATAACAGAAACAAGTTTTCATTGTTAGTACAAGTTGTAAAATTGCATCGTCATCAAGTTTGTGGTCCCTATAGAGTGACACATGAACGCTAGTCAGACACATTCGACACTACCACACTGTATAGTCAATATCTAGAGAATAAAAGGAAAATGCGTCCCTTCATGTTAATCAATGTCTTGAAATTTGGTGAAATTCTTTGTTAGGAAACATGCACAGTGAAAGAATTCCTATCTGGATCAAGTGTGAGTAAACTATTCACAATCGTGAAAGATTTCCAATGCTTGCCATCTATCTGGAGAAGATTTTGTGAATAGTTGCCAACAGAAGTCATAAGTAGCTACGTGTTTGAACCACTGTCAGACAAAAGGCTGTAAAGATTCACTGAAGATTCGGTGAAGATTAGATGGGCCAAACAAACCAGGGATTGACATTGTAAGCAACATCCATGCTGTCGTGGTACGATGACACGTAATCAGCAGCGTAACCGAAATTAACCGTTAAATCCATCGAGTCACCTCTTACAACAGGAATTGGTTGGTGGGGACCAGTTCTAACTGGGAAGAGTCAGCTGGGACGGGTAACTCGGGTACTCGGGCCGGGTGGCTACTGAGTAGGACCCGGGTACCCACAGGACTACCCCGACCCGTGGCTAATCACGTGATACACGGTGTATATTGTTTAATGACAAAAATTATCTGGAACTTTATGCTTACACTATAAGGGACTAATGCTTGCTTTTCTTTCTGACTATGCACACATTCCTTCTGACTTAATATGTTTGAATAAAGATAAAACTTCAGTCAACTTCAGTTTATGCATGACCAGATTGGTTTATACGTGTATCTAAATACATTTTGCCAAGGCTACGGTCAAACTATTCCCAATCCGACATTTGGACCTATCTCTTGAGACCTACAGCGGGTACCCGGGTAGGGTCAGGTAATAGGGGGGTGGGTACCCAGGTAGTAAATTTACCCGTGAGTAGTCGGGCAGGATCATACAACTGCTCATCATGGTAAGTTTTGGTATGTCATGTATCTATTGGTTAAATATCACATGATGACAAGTGAAAAGTCCAGCCCTAGTGGGACAACTAAAAAAAGTACATATGTGTTGCATATGGACACAGAGGTGAGTTGACACAGAGGTGAGTTTACGCATATGGCAGTAACTGCAAAGGAGACAATTAGTACAAGTCTGTTCCAGACAGATATCATTAAGATAGAAGAAATGTGACAAGAACTAAACTTGACACATGCTTGAAATACTGCATTATTTCTGAAGATCAAAAAGTAACAAAATGAAACATTAACATTCATTCTGAAGATGGTGCTTCGATTCTAGAATGAGGATGATCAGTAATAGATTATTGCACACAAATTAAAGATCGTCTTGGTGGGACTAAAATTACATGAAACAAAAACCATACAAAAACAATTCAAAACCAGTGAGTGCAAGTACTTGGACTTGATGTATAATCACCACCACACTAATCTCTCTGAGAAACAGGAACATGTGTGGAGACTGTCCTAATGAACGACCAATAGCCTGGCAGTACACTTGCAGGTGTCTGTAGGTGACAACTCATTCTGAGTGACTTTCTGGGGCCTATGTCACAAAGTGATGTTAGCACTATGACTGTCATACTAACAATACTCCAAGACATAATAAACATCCAAACAATTAAGCCAGATATTAACTTGGACCAGTGCATCTACTTACTGGTACCTAAATCTGAAAGATGTCTTTTCTTGGTTAAGCGGGCATCTCATCTTAAGCTACTTTCTGCATCACAAATTTGAAATATGTACGTGAATAATTAATTGCTTGTTTTTAAATTTGGTGTGATGCTATTATCAACTGACATTATTGAAGACTCTGTCCAGGAGGTTAAAGTATCGAAAAATAATTGTCCCCTGTGTGACACGTAATTCCTATCATAATCACTGTAACTATCATCAACCATTGTTTTCAGCCAACTCACTGCTCAGTATTTTTTTAATATTGGCTAGTATTGAGCACCACCATCAGTAGCTAAAGTGATGAAGTAAATCCTGCTGGGGTATCGTGCAGGAAGCTGATGCACCATGAACCCCAAAAAGGTGGCCAAGCTTTGGTTACTGGCGGCCCCTAGCCCGTGTTTTAAACTGTAAAAGTAATATAGTTATGCCCAAATATATTTGAAACTTTTTGTTATTAATATAACTCTGTATTCATGACTCACTTGTGTATATATCATCTTGTTCTCATCTCTATGTGGCTGAAATAATGCTGATGCGACGTTAAATGTTAACTCACTCACTTAATGGTACCCAACATATAACTCAACTGTGCTGAACACTATCAACCCTCAAATACACCTTGATTATTAAGTTGTTACATATTGTTTCATACTGTTACATATTGTTACATATTGTTACATATTGTTACCCTGTATCCCACTCAGCCCAATCACTCTGTTTCCCACTGCTGTTAAATTGAGTCTCTCAATCCCATTGGTTGTCTCATTGTAGTGTTATTCTTGTACATTAGTCCTGCCTCGTAAACAGATCAGCATGTATTTTAACTCACAAATGTTTACTCAGTAGTCTGATGAAGAGACAAGAAGTAGCCCTGAAATGTCACAAACTATAAACAAGTTGTTATTAATGAAAAGTCCCATGTTTTCATAACACCCCTAGTTAACACTTATGATAGTCATAGCGCTACCATTGCTGTGTCAAACCGACCCAGGGCAAGTGAGTCCTGGACAATCTGTCAGCCATTACTGACTTGCCCCGAAGTTTGGGCACACAAGGTGTCATATTATCTGAGATGTAGAGACCAGGATTGGATCATCTTCCCAAGGCAAGGGAGTAAACTTTAAAAGTCCAGTTTCCACCCTTGCCAAACTAGGCTGGAATTATGAGTTATATTTTGGAAGGAATAATGAGTCTATGCTTAGTCCAATCAAAATTGTGTAATGAAATCAACATCCGGTTCATAAACTTCCTTTCAGATTTCGATTGATGGCTGGATTTTCAGAGCATATGTACCGCTAGCTCGGCGTCAACAGATATTTTCCCAAATACTTTCATGTCTTTAATCAAGGAGCTCATGTGATCTGATGCACTTGTGAAGTAAGATCTGTTATATTACAACATAGATTTTGATAATCAATCAGATTGTCTTGACTAGGCGCCTCCATGTTGTTTGAAGCAAATGCAAGTGATATGAGAGGTGGAATCTGATTGGTCAATAGGAGGGACATAAAAGGGACATAACTGCCATTGGTGGTGCTACAATCCAGCCCAGAAATTCCAGTCTAGTTTGGCAAGGGTGGACACTGAAGGGTTAACTTCCTTGCCTCGGGATGATGGGACTGGATGAGTTGTAGCCCACTACCCGCAGTTTCACACTGGTTATTCATGGGAAATATCTCGTCAACTCTCATTCAGTGGCAGGGGACTGACTACACAAGACATATAACTTCTCCCTAGGGAGGTCTTCTGCAGTAGAGAAGACAAGCCTTCGTGACTTCAACAGCCACTGTGACCACAGCAGCACATTTTAACGTTAAAATCAAGTGAAAGTGAAGTGACCTGCATTTGTTCTGAGCCCGTATTTTACTTTTGTTTCAAACGACTGCGAATTGCTAATAGCAAAAACCTGGTTCACCTCTGCCATATATTGTAATGTCCTGTCAACATCTTCAATTTAATGAAAATCTTAAATTGCAAGATGTACTCCTTCAAAACATTTTTTGTTTGTTTATGGACTTCGGAAATATGATATCAATGCTTAACCATGTTAACATTACAATGTGAAAAAAATCCATGAAATGTCAGTAAGTTTGTTTCTTATTAAATACCTGTGGATAGGTCCCTTATTGTAACAAATCAGTGAAAAACATGATCTAAAAATGGTAGACATGTTTAACAAAGATAAGTACGTTTTATTGACACCGTGTTACCAATTCCTTGTTTTAATGACCTGTGTTCTCTTCAAACATCTACTTGCTGACTGCATCTATTCATTCTTTACACCGTGTTTGAAGACAGCATCCACGAACTGAGCGAACCAGCGGTACATATAGGTCTTGTGGCGAGGGAACCAGCCCTCTAGAAATCCAATATGGCCACCACAGGATGGAACAACGATTGCAATGTTGTCATTTTTCTCAGCATCCTTCAGTGGAATAGCTGAAAGTGAAAAATATTGCTTTGAAGCAGAGCAATAGTAGAGATTATGGTGTGTGTGTGTGTGCGTGTGTGTGTGTGTGTGTGTGTGTGTGTGTGTGTGTGTGTGTGAGTGAGTGAGTGAGTGAGTGAGTGAGTGAGTGAGTGAGTGAGTGAGTGAGTGAGTGAGTGAGTGAGTGAGAGTTTGGTTAAAACCATTTGAACAGTATTTCAGTTATACCACAATGTTTTGGCTTGATGTGGTAGGAATGCAAGCTATATCTCTATATATTATCTACAATAAATTCCTTAGGACACAGGTAAATGCATCTCCTTCACAATATCAACCTCTAAAACACAATAGTGAGTAGAGGCGACTTTTGAACACTATTTCAGTTATATCATGACATTTTAGCTTCATGTGACAGAAAAGCGATGCAAGTGATGCAAGTTGGGTGGTGTGCTGACAGACAGATCCTGCTGCACCAAAGGGACACAACTCTGTATATCAAATTGCAGCACCTTATATGACAAAGCCACCTGTGCCTCCTACATATTGAATAAAGACTTAAGTAGCAGATAAAAATTGTACTGACTGTGAAAAGGAGCAAATGGATCATCAGCAGCGCTAAGACAGAGGACGGGAACTTTGAGGGCGTGGACTTTGTCATGGAGGGAGGCTTGCTTGTAGTAATCATCCACGGACTTGAACCCAAACACCTTGGCCGTGAAGCGCTCGTCAAAGTCTCGGATAGTGTTGCTCTGGGTAATGAAATGGTAACAATATCTTCTTTATCAACTATATGTAAAGACGATCGGCAGAATTTCCAGAGTCTGAATTACTACATCATTATGTTACAAAAATTCTGACACTCACTTTATAGGTGCTGAATGAGTGGTGACTGTTTTTTTTTTGTTTTTTTGTTGTTTAATGCCGCTCTAAGCAGTATTTCATCTATATGACGGCGATCTGTAAATAATTGAGTCTGGAACAGATAATCCAGTGATTGATATCATGAGCATCGATCTAAGCAAATGAGATATGATGACATGCATCAACCAAGTCAGCGAGCCAGACCACCCAATCCCGTTAGTTGCCTCTTATGACAAGCATTGTTGCTTTTTACACCAAGCATGGGTAGCAGAAGACCTATTCTACTCCAGATCTTATCCTTAACTTTACTCTAGTCAAGATACTTTAACATAAAAGTTCAAATCAAAGCAGCCTGTAAATAATCAATTCGGTGACCATAAACTATTGGACTGACAGCATGAACCACTTCGGGTACGATGATGCATTATCAGCCAGTTGTAAACACACTAGCCACATGTCTCTTGTTAAAGACATGGGTTATCTCCCTTTATCAGCTCACCTTCAGGACGTGCTCCATGTCGTAGTGTTTCTCAAACAGCTTCACGTTCCTGTAACAACATACAGCTACATTCAAGCACTTTCAATCATTTAGCACAGTGATCTCTCCCTGTGGAGCAGTGGAAAGAGATACATGTGATGTTGAACACTTTTTCACAATTATTTTTACACATACACAAAAATAAGTTACCGTATTCGACGTAATAAGCGCCTAGGGCGCTCTCAAAATTAGAAATAGGGGACTCTCATTAGAATATTATTTTGGGGAAAAAAACAGAGTTGAAAGAAAAATTTCGTGGTTTATGCTGACAACCTGAAATGTTTATATTCGACAGATATATTTTTCCAGAATTTAATTCCCCATAATTAACAGTGCATATAATTCACGAGTGCGTATTATACACGAATAAATAAGTCTTGTGTACATTGATCAATCGGAAAGGGTGCTAATTGGGATTGTTCACTAGCCAACATGTTAGCAATTATCGCCATGGGCGCTTATTACGTTGAATACAGTACTAGATAAGATTATGTGAAAATCAGGAATGTACAGTATCTCCAGGCTCTGTTCATATGTCCATACTTGCTGAACCAGGAAGAACTCGCAACATAGCTTTCACTATATTATATATTCTGATGATCCCATTCTGGGCTTTCAATGATGAAAGATTTGAACTTTGCAGTCAAACTTTGTGAACTTCTTTTTGTGAAATGCAATCTAATCTCAAGTTTATATCTGCAATCTTGAGATTACTTTTTGAAGATTCAAAATAGAGAGTGCCAGGGCCCTGTTCCACAAAGCGATCTTAGCGCTAAGACTGTCGTAAGTCTATGTTAAAGTATGGGAGTTATGATCGTCTTACCGCTACGATCGCTTTGTGGAACGGGACCCAGGGCAATAGCAGAATTCTGTATACATTGTAGTGTCTTCTTGACATTGTAGAAGTACAATAACCGGCAACACCAACAATGGGCTTATCCATGCCACACAGTGTACCAGTGTAGGGAATAAAACCTTGGTGTTAGAGAGATGAGGCAACACTTGAACCACTAGACTATAGTCCAATAATGTTAATGAAATCCCAAGACATATTCCTCAGCAGGTTTAGGCCATGAGTACCACAAATAAGGTCTGGGCTTACTTCTTGACAGTGTCAGTAAGGAGTCTTGCGAGGCGCTTGTTGAACAGGAAACAGTTGAGAGGCTGCTCCAGTGACAGTGTGGACTCGAACACGTTCCAGGCGACCGACACACACATCCCGGCGATCAGGCGGGCATCCTTCCCCAGCTTGGCCAGGTAGTTGAAAAGTATCATGCTGCAAGTAATGGAGGATTATAGGGCAGGCCTCAAAGTTTAAATTTCTACCAAGTAGCCATATGGCTACAAGTATTTTTTTCCAGGTAGCCAGTGTTAAAATCAAGAAGTCAAGCCAGTATTGAAGGTAGCCAAAATCATTTGAAATTATCTTTTATCAAATAACTATTACTATATGTACAAGTTATAGCACTAGTCTTGGATTTGTATATTAGTGAAAACTGTACTTGATTTTTGTTACTTGTGACTCGAAGAAAGATACAATTTATGTTACTAGATTATATAGGTATATCCTTGCTTATCCATTGTGCATTGTCAACTAAAATAAAGTACCAACTACATTAATATTTATGTATATTGGTTCATTGTCAAATTTAGGCGGAATAATTTGCGAGTACAATTATTAGCAGACGTGTTTTCCAAGATCAGCTGTTATTTATTTTTGTGTCTACAGATGTGTAACAAAAGAATTTAGTCGCCACAAGATATTTTTCAAGGTAGTCATTTGGCTACGTCTGAATTATTTAGACAGTAGACAAACTCAAATTTAGGTCGCATTGGTGGCCGTTTTAGTCGCAACTTTGAGGCCTGTAGGGCTGGCTAAAAAGATTGATAATCGGAAGGATCGTCAAACATGTCAAAGGGAAGAAATATTAATGAATATCAATATGAAACTGTTGTCATCGAAAAATAACTATTGTGATGAAGTAAAGTTTAGTTTTACCGAAAAAGATGTGTAATTGTCAATAATGTCAGTTGTCGAAGATGAAAAGTAAGTGTTTTTGTAATATCTCAAATGTCCACAAAGTAATCCATGCATACATGTGTCACTGCTCACCAGTGGCATAAAAATATGTTGATTCCTTTCTAGCATATGTGCTTAAAATTCCTTCTCCAATATACATTGATACTTGATTGATATTGAGTCAGTAATTATTGATCTCTATAATCTATATCGATAGCCAGCCCTAGAGGATTATATGACCGTCTAATTTATAATTCTTGTCTTGGTGTGTGCTTCATGTTACTGAGGATGAGGATGAAATGAGATACCACCCGGTGAAATCCCGACCCCCATAACACTGTGTTTCCCAGGTGCCAGGTACGTACCCCCCAGTGAGATCGCGATCCCCATGATGCTGTGTTTCCCAGATGCCAGGTTTGTACCCCCCAGTGAGATCGTGATCCCCATGATGCTGTGTTTCCCAGGTGCCAGGTACGTACCCCCCAGTGAGATCGCGATCCCCATGATGCTGTGTTTCCCAGGTGCCAGATACGTACCCCCAGTGAGATCGCGATCCCCATGATGCCGTGTTTCCCACGTGCCAGGTACGTACCCCCCACTGAGATCGCGATCCCCATGACACTGTGTTTCCAAAGTACGTACCCCCAGTGAGATCCCGACCGCCATGACACTGTTTCCCAGGTACTTCCCCCCAGTGAGATCGCGATCCCACTGATGCTATGTTTCCAAAGTATGTACCCCCAGCGAGATCCCAACCACCATGATGCTGTGTTTCCCAGGTAAATACCACCCAGTGTGATTCCGAACTCCATGACACTGTGTTTCCCAGGTAAATACCCCCCAGTGAGATCCCGACCCCCATGACACTGTGTTTCCCAGGTACATACCCGCCCAGCAAGATCCCGACCCCTATGACGCTGTGTTTCCCAGGTACATACCCGCCCAGCGAGATCCCGACCCCCATGACGGGGGCGTCAGGCCGTGTGGCCTTGATATGGCTGACCACCAGCTCCAAGTCCTCCGTGTCGGCGGCGCAGTACGTCCGGGGGGTCTGCCACATAGGTGAAAGGTATTAGTGGGTTTGAAAAAAATGATTTTATACATGTTTATCAAATTAAAACTACACATGTATTTCCAATATGCTCTGAACATTTTATGAATTATCTCCCTTGGTTACACATGTTCACATGTTCGTTGGTTTGTTGTTCAACTCCGAATGCAGCAATATTCCAACTATTTCATGGAGACCAGAAAATATACAAGTCTGGACCAGACAAAGCAATGATTGACATTGTGACAAACTTCCAACATTTATAACCCTGCCCGATGACTACTTGGACAAGCTTCACCTTACTACCTATCATGAAACATAATGCTCAGTCTGATAACAAAAACATTATGATTGATAGCGACAGCCTTTTGTCAGCAACATGAACAAATCCTGGGAAATCTAGTATAGCCATAAGTATTGAAAGATGACTCAAACATCACAATATGTTACATGATGTAGGTGCAGTTGTCACTCCTATTAACATAAGTAGGTGAGTAAGTGAGTGAGTGGGATGCCACTGAGAAAGTGGTCAAATATAACAAATGTTATATTTGGGTTAACAGGGATAAAAGTCCAGTTTCCACCCTTGCCGAACTAGGCTGGAATTATGGAGTTATATTTGGCTGGACTATTATGAGTCTATGCATAGTCCAATCCAGAACGAAATCGACATCTGGTTCATAAACTGCCGTCCAGATTTTGGTAGATTGCAGGATTTGCAAAGCATGTGGACCACCAACTCGTCGTCTAAAAGTATTTTCCAAATCTTTTCCGCCATTTTGTATGGAACAAATGCAAGTGATATGAGGGGTGGAATCTGATTGGTCAATAGGAGGGACATAGAAGGGACATAACTTGTCATAGCCACTGATGGCGTTACGAAGGAGATGAAAAATTCCAGCCTAGCTTGGCAAGGGCGGAAACCAGACTTTTACAGTCAGTTAACTCCCTTGCCTTTGGAAAATGGAGTACATCTGGTGAGCCATATACTGAGCATCAAGCGTGTTCACATGTCCATCATTGTCCACGTGTCATTTCCGATTTATTTGTGGACTTTCATATTAAACACAGTCATAAAACATAATTGTCAAAAATATGAATTCTTAGCAGGTCAAGACTTAACATGAATGCAAACATGTCCCAGCAAAGTGTGCCCTTGAGGCACTGGGAACATATTTCAACCATGCCCAGACTAATACACAAGGAATGTTGATGCCTGACAGCAGTGTGTACTTACCAGTAGCTGTGCGCCGCCATTGCCTCTGTTATTGAACACAACACACCTACAAGTAAACAGTATCCATACTGTCACACCTGGCTTGGTAATAATAACAGAGCATATTCATACAGTGCCCTATCCATGCACACCCGAGAGGGATTCTGGGATAGATTAGGGCGCCAGGTGGCCCATTCATTAAGCTATCTTTGCGCTAAGAACGTCATCAATGTGCCGTTTGAAAAGATCGCGGCTATAAAGTGTATTCTTGAAGTTGTCTTAGCACCAAATTACCTTCAGTAAACAACAAAAAATAAGACAGGGCCTGTCTCAGGACATTACGAGAGACAACGAATGGCATGTTGAAGAAAACGATTTGGCATATGTATCTGCCGTATTTTTTCTGGTCTTTGAAAGGCATTTAGATGAGATATAGATAAGGAAGAGAATTTATGGATGTCAACTTCTTTATCATGATAATAATAAAGAAGTTGACATCAAAAAATGTTCTTCTTTATGTCGTTTTCCTGACTAGAAAACCGACTGGTTTCCACTGGCACTTTCAAAACATGAACAACAGATCCTAGAAAACATGCCACAAACATTGCATTAACCGATTATGACTTATCCTTTACAGCAGATAGCAGATGCTTGCATAAAATCATCCCATACAAAATGTTATGCGAATCAATCTATCTTTTTCGTTTATTTCTGTTGAAACACTAGCAAATTGTTTGCACGCTATCCTTGTTAGAAATTGGCTAGAAGAAATGTTTAAGGGTTTTGCTATGTTATCTTTGTAAGGACTAGCAGACTAAAACAATTAGTTTCTATCGCTGCTATTGCAAAGACCATGACGCTCTCTTGACTAGGGGGATGATGTATGTGAGAGTGGGAGTTGCTTCCCTTTGACTTCAAGTCAGAGTACAACGCCACCCATTCAAACAAGTCACAAGCCTGACCACCTGATCCCTGCCAAATACAACAAGCAAAGACTCCTGGAAACCGATTCTAACCTAGAATTCACATGATGGTATGAGGGATGTCGACTAAAATCCCTAGATATCTGCAAGTAAATTCCATCAGCAAAAAGTATTATTATATGCCCATCAAGGCAGGGATAGAAACAGTAGCCTGAGCAACTTTGTCTGAGGCAAACCGTATCATTAGGGTTTAACAATCATAAATATTTTGGAGGCTGTTGTTGACATTTGTGTCTTTTCTTATTTGAGATTATTTGTGTGTTTGTTGTTAAACGCCACACTCAGCAATATTCCAGCAATATGACATCAACCTGTAAATAATCTGGTCTAAACCAGACAATCCAGTGACTGATATCATGAGCAACGATCCACGCCGTCAGGGAAAGATGACACGTAATCAACCAAGTCACCGAGTCTAGCCACAAAATCCATTTGGTCACCTCTTACGACCAGCACAGGTTGTTGGGGACCGGTTCTAACCCGGAATTCCCAAGGGGGTCCTATTTGAGACAGAATAGGCTGCTGTAGAAAGGCTAGAAGAAAGGCTAGTAGGAAGGCTAGTAGAAAGACTAGCTGGTATACAAACACCCACCTGTAGCCAAGGTCGATGGCATCATGCACCATGTGGAGGATATATGGTTCATTGCTGCATCCTGAAATTATACACCATAGTCTAGCAATATCATGGTAGGGGATATCAGAAATGCACATGAAATATAAGCAATAAATATATCTGTGCAGATTAATAGTGCATCCCACATCTCAAGCCCCATATACACCCCTGTCCTCATCCACCCCTCTGTCCTCATCCATCCTACATACACCCCTGTCCTCATCCACCCCATATATACCCCTGTCCTCATCCACCCCATATATACCCCTGTCCTAATCCACCCCATATACACCCCTGTCCTCATCAACCCCATATACACCCCTGTCCTCATCCACCCCATATACACCCCTCTGTCCTCATCCACCCCCCTGTGCTCATCCACCCCATATACACTCCTGTCCTCATCCACCCCACATACACCCCTGTGCTCATCCACCCTACATACACCCCTGTCCTCATCAACCCCATATACACCCCTGTCCTCATCCACCCCATATACACCCCTCTGTCCTCATCCACCCCCCTGTGCTCATCCACCCCATATACACTCCTGTCCTCATCCACCCCACATACACCCGTCCTCATCCACCCCATATACACCCCTGTCCTCATCCATCCCTGTCCTCATCCACCCCATATACACCATCTGTCCTCATCCACCCCATGTACACCCCTGTCCTCATCCACCCCATATAAACCCCTGTCCTCATCCTCCCCATATACACCCCTGTCCTCATCCACCCCATATACACCCCTGTCCTCATCCTCCCCACATACACCCCTCTGTCCTCATCCACCCCTCTGTCCTCATCCACCCTATATACACCCCTGTCCTCATCCACCCCATTTACACCCCTATCCTCATCAACCCCTCTGTTCTCATCCACACCCCTGTCCTCATCCACCCCTCTGTCCTCATCCACACCCATGTCCTCATCCACACCCCTGTCCTCATCCACCCCATATACACCCCTGTGCTCATCCACCCCATATACACTCCTGTCCTCATCATGTTTGTCACCTGTAAGTCCAGGCAGAATGAGGACGGTAGGTCGGAGGTTGTCGTCATAGCGATGGTCCCCAGTGTTCTCAGCCCAGTCCAGCTTGATCTGTCCTCCATCGGGGGTGTCAATGATCTCACTGAAACAGATGAAAATAACCACTCAACCATTTCACCTTTGTTGCCGTTCTGAATAGCAGTTCAGTCACCTTGACCAGTCCACACATAAAACTTTTGAAGCACAACGCCACTTTTTCTTGACAAACACATTCTTGACAAACAGAGGGATAGAAAATAGTCCCATATTCAGAAGACATATATATGCACCATGGCAAAAAGTGAGAAATTATTCTATACCTCAAGATTCCTAGAAGTCACTGTCAGGGACATGAATCACATGATGTTAATTCTTGGCTAAGGGACTGGTCATTTATTATAGAGAGGCATGGGATTGGTATTAGCACTGTGGCATATTTTCCTGACCCCCTACATTCCCCAACCCAACATTTTTTCATGACACCCTATCTATAATATAGGACCAGTCCCTAAATAGTGATAGGTTTTGTCCTCCTCCCACCCCCTCCTGTCCACAGTGTCATTTTTCATGAATCCCTCCTAACCACACTAACCTCAACACCATCCCTCCCACCCCTACCATATAATAAGTGCCTATCCCTAAGAAAGCTTGTGCTAATTTTTACTAGATAGTTCTACTGGTCTGTCACAGAAGAATGGGGCATAAACCATTAATAATGGTCATTATGGTAACTGGGAATAAATAACAATGCAATTGGGAAACCACAAACAATTATGAAATTGGACAAAGGTCTTTGCTGAAAACTTCTCTGTCTTCTTATCTAAAACATCATAACTCAAGACTTGCGTCTTGATCTAATATCAATGATTTGGTGTCAATCCTTGTATGATAATGTTCACTTGTTGACACTATACGTCTACTGGTCCAAGTTCCATAGGCTGGATACAGCTATCAAGCTGACCTGTGTTTGCTTTGCCCAGATAAGAAACATCACTAAACTATATCAATATCGGTCAGAATCAGTCAGGAGGTGCTGATCAGGTACATTGCAACTGAGGTGAATGTTACTTGCAACATCTTTAGCATCTCAATGTCAGATTATTATTAGATATAAAGGACACAAACATGCATTTAATCATGGTTATATATAACCACATTTAATGGAGAGATCACCCTATTTAATGAGACGTTTCTGTTAGGTGAGATACAGTCACTTATATTTTGCAACATCATCAACAATGGCCAATAGTAAGTGCAAATGATGGTTCCACAAAGCCATCTTAGCACTAAGATGATTGTAACTCCAATAGTCTACCAAAGGGTACGATAGTCATAGTGCAATGATCCCTTTGTGGAACAGCCCCCTGGAAAAAATGCTTCCTCAATCTTGTGGTGTCTCAGAACATTCTTGTGAATTTTTTAGGACTGGAGGATGAGAGTGGGGCCATGATGAGTGCTGAAGACAGTACCTATTGAATGTGAGAGGGGGTGAGGACTGGAGGATGAGAGGGGGTCAGGGGATGGGGGTGAGGACTGAAGAATGAGAGGGTGTGAGGACTGGGGGATGAGAGGGGGTCAGGGGATGGGGGTGAGGACTGAAGAATGAGAGGGTGTGAGGACTGGGGGATGAGAGGGGGTCAGGGGATGGGGATGAGGACTGAAGGATGAGAGGGTGTGAGGACTGGGGGATGAGAGGGGGTCAGGGGATGGGGGTGAGGACTGAAGAATGAGAGGGTGTGAGGACTGGGGGATGAGAGGGGGTCAGGGGATGGGGGTGAGGACTGAAGAATGAGAGGGTGTGAGGACTGGAGGATGAGAGGGGGTCAGGGGATGGGGGTGAGGACTGAAGAATGAGAGGGTGTGAGGACTGGGGGATGAGAGGGGGTCAGGGGATGGGGATGAGGACTGAAGGATGAGAGGGTGTGAGGACTGGGGGATGAGAGGGGGTGAGGACTGGAGGATGAGGGGGGTGAGGACTGAAGGATGAGAGGGTGTAAGGACTGGAGGATGAGAGGGGGTCAGGGGAGGGGGGTGAGGACTGAAGAATGAGAGGGGGTATGGACTTGAGGATGAGGGGGGTGACATGACGATTGCTGAAGTCAGTACCTGTTGTATGTGAGAGGGGGTGAGGACTGGAGGATGAGAGGGGGTGAGGACTGGAGGATGAGGGGGGTGAGGACTGAAGGATGAGAGGGTGTAAGGTCTGGAGGATGAGAGGGGGTCAGGGGAGGGGGGTGAGGACTGAAGAATGAGAGGGGGTGTGGACTGGAGGATGAGGGGGGTGACATGACGAGTGCTGAAGTCAGTACCTGTTGTATGTGAGAGGGGGTGAGGACTGGAGGATGAGGGGGGTGACATGACGAGTGCTGAAGTCAGTACTTGTTGGATGCGAGAGGGGGTGAGGACTGGAGGATGAGGGGGGTGACATGACGAGTGCTGAAGTCAGTACCTGTTGTATGCGAGAGGGGGTGAGGACTGGAGGATGGCACGGAAGATGGTCTGAAGCCTGGACTCTGAACACCACCATGTTGGCCAGTACTTCTCAGCTATAACCGGGCAATGATTCTTCAAAAACTTCAAAAGCCGTTGATCCTGGCAAGCTATTATCGGCTTCTGTAACAGAAAACATAAGTCTTAACTTTATAGCATGATGTGTGAGTGATAACGGTGTGAGGTACTACCGTTATATCGGTAAATTGAGGTTCATTCTTTCCACAATATGCATCATAATATTACATTTTCATGCTCGACATATCGAGTGATTTCAAACTGGAATATTTTTCATGTGTTTAATGTTATATACTTGCCAAATGCCTTTGCTGCCCAGGAGCGAGCAACCGGGGCCTCAATATGGCTGCGTATTTATTAAATGAGTAAACATTATGTCAAACCAGTATCTCCGATGTTCCATTTATGATCTTCAGTTCATACCTTAATGTATCAGATCGCTTCTGAATCAAAAATTTAGAATTATACAATATATCATTATATGTATTTCAATATGGCCTTGTGCATTGCCAAATAATTGGATATACATTAACCTCCAATACCCATCCCTAGTGAGTGAGCAAGCCACCATTACTAAATGCTGAACAACAAGTGCTTGCCATTGGCAAAAAATGAACCAAATTACAAAAGACACATTTTCTTGACAGGGTTCAAGTTAAAGAACTCAATCTAACTTGCAGTAGATGCATGTAGATATGCAATCTCATTAAAATCAGATCTTAGTTCTCGTTATCGCTAAACAAAGATCTGAGGACATCCCATTACGGGGCACGTCAGAACGACCTTTCATCCAACCAATCACAGCGTCGCTTACCAGATCATGAAAGTGACAGACGGAATGTGTTTTCTGATCATGCAACCTCGAAATATTTAACAGCGCCGCGGGTATACCGAACAACAGTTACGGGTCTTATGATTATATCCATACAATCTAGGCCATCTATAAGCCATTCCAGAATGTTCTTTTTATCAGATTTAAAAATTTTAACCGAGAATACGTCAAAATATGTTTCGAAGCGTAGTTGCCAGTTTGAAACTAGTGTCGTAAAGCTCGAGAAAGCTCCCTTCTGATTGGCTGATGTCGATTTCTTGTCAGTCATTTCATTGATTGGTCAAAGTTCGCGAGAGGTCGTTCTGACGTGACCCGTAATGGGATGTCCTCAGATCTTTGTTTAGCGGTAGCGAAAACTAATATCTGATTTTAATGAGACATGAAAACCAAGCTGCACCAGATAAAACCAGGTCGCACCCAGGTCCCATACATTTATCAAAGTTGAAACATAGATGCATAAACACTAGGGCTGCAACGATGAACTATCAGGTGAATATGATTCGTATCACGAATATAGGGTAACGAATACGAATATCAATTCACGAAACAAGTCAGCAGCTGATGTATTATTTCTTATATTCAGTGAAGCAATAACAACATAAATTATTTGACATGGTTTGTTAATTATTAATATATTATACATTTATATACTGCATTAATCCAGGTTCTAGTATCTGCTCAAATGCAACAATGACCAGTGACCACAATACTGTCAAATTAAATAGTATAAGAGTGCTGTCTCTTGAAGAAATCTATGCATATAACATGTTCTTATGGGTATTTTTATGTAAATGCACATTTCATAAATATTCGATTCTGGTGGCCACGAAAAACGGATTCAATTCATAAATGGATACGGTTCGATTCACCGAACACATGAGTGAATAGTAACTGCCCTAATAAACATGTCTAAATATATAAAATCTCAGATCTCTGATAACTGTGTCATGATTATTAGTACAGTTAGCAACTGAATCAGACAAATGAACAAAAATGCCTGCTGCAACAGCCTGTGGAATTACGACATTTATGTCATCATCGACTCATGTGATTTGTTATCAGCAGCTGAACTGCTTGTGAGAACCATGACTTGAGCTTCCTGCTTGTCATAATTTTTATTCATAACATCCAAAAATGATTCAACATACACATGTGCTAGGAAGCTAGGCTGGCTTTCTGCCAGTGTCACAAAAGTTGATGACGTACCAATTTTGGTCACCAATGTATCTCTAAACTGTTTGGCATCAATAATTTATTGCCTAGTCATGTCTAGACACCTTGACGACTAACATTTGAATAACAACCTGTTTATTATCTGCAACACATGGCTTTTGTGTATATGTCCCATAAAATGCAACATGCTTTGATAATGTGATGAGTTGGAACTGCGAAGCAATATCAAATGTCATATTGCAATTACTGATGGAAATTGACCTCAATATTTGTCAACAATTACTGACATCATCGATGATAGAAATTTTTTTTAAGAATAATTGTTTATCAATTTATAAATAAATAAATAGAATACATGACATAACTTAACTTTTAACTAGAACCCTTTATAACTGGAGCAACCAACACTTCTGATGCCACTTACAACAAGCAGGGTTTGCGGAAGATCATTTCTAACCTGGATCTTCACAGTTTTTATTTTTGAGGTTATTTATACTCCCATCACACCAAACTAGCTCTCAATACGTTCGTAAAAATTTTGTCGAACGGGCTCCAACTGTGTATGAACGTAGCGGACGTTGTAGCAACTATTGACAGTCTTTTTACGAACTTCATGGACAGGCTCGAACGGGGAGGGTGCTCTAGAACTTTGAGTCTGCTCAAAATTTTATCCCGTCCATCCCTTTCTGCAATTAGTCGGATTGACATTATACTCAAAACGAGAAAGACATAATGAACGGAATTGCCGTACTTCAAACGGAATTGCCGTACTTCGAACCTACTAGGGACGTGTTACGACGTGGTGCAGTCGGACATAAACTTCAGTACGTGTGCACACCGACCAGGTCGACTTCTCTTTTGAGGCATGATGTGTACAGCTCGGAGCCCTGGGCTTGAATGAAGACTGACTACAACGCGCTCAGTATCCATAGGACTCGGGCCAGGACGCGAATAGACACGCACTTGGGACGAGATGAGGACGTACTGCGAACGAGTTGGTCGAATTAAGAATTAGTTAGAACTGGCTTGGACGTATTGTGAAGGGGGTAGAATGAGGTTGAACTGGTTAAGAACGGGTTCAAAATGGCTACGGACGTGCTCGAACTGCTTCGAAACGTTGTCGGGATGAGGTGAACGGGCACTTTTACACGATCTGAACTGGATACAAACGGACTGCAGACTGGCTAAGAACGAGATAGACGTATTGAGGACTGCTTATGAACGAACTAGCATCGTACTTTATGCCAAACTACGCGTTCTACCGTGATCACAGCCCGTTCTAGTATTTTGTTTAAAGCGGATTGAACGGGATAGAACTACTTTGGTGTGATTGTAGCATAAGCTTTTGGAAGTGGGGCTCACAGGGCACAATAAAAAATTAATCAGATTTGGTACGCAGATTCAATATTGACAAAAAATATAGTGTAGGTACCCTTTCCTTTATATAATATATCTTTTTCTATAGATTTCTCTGTAAATTAACTTCTAATCACACCCTTTTATGGGGTAGGCATGTGTTCTAGAGGTTGTTGTCAGTGATAAACACTCCTTTGTCGAGTGAATTCTGACATGTCATTTTGAGATCAGCGTAAATTAGTATTCAGGATTCAGGGGTTGGCAAATGAATTTTATGAAATGCATCAGAAATTTACACTATACGCCTACTCATGTATGAAGTCATGTTTTAATTCTGTATCATCTTTCAAAAAGTAACATTTACGAGTAACCAGGCCTGACCCCACGTTGGGCAAGCATCACCATACTGCCTAATATAAGTCACGCAAGTGGAGCACAACTGGAAAATACCAACACCTCTTGTTAGCTGTGCCACATTGAACATGGACCATTCCACTCAAAAACTGCTCAAATTAATTTTTTCGACGTGTTAATCGTGACACCAGTATCACAACAAACAGTCTGTTCCAAAACCCTTAAGTCTACAACCCTTGAAAATAAACCTTGGGCGTTGGCATAATTTACAGAATTTATTTGAGTCGTAATTTATTGGAGTGAGTATGGATTTACTCCACATTTAGCATTATTCCAGCAATATCCATGCTTGGGGACACATTGTACCCTTGTGGGGAATCAAACCTGGTTTTCAGTGTGACGGGCAAACACTTTAACCACTAGGTTACGCCCTTCTGTGGCCTAGTACAATGTGATCTCACAAGACCAGAAGACATTTTACTGGACTCGGGCTTCGGACTAGTGGCTCAAGGTCGCAGACAGTTGTATCAATTGCTACTTAGTAACATAATGACCCCAAATTTGAAGAGCTATTGTATGAAACCATAGAAGCCAAAACATAGAAGCCTGGCCTCTGCTAGACGACATGTCTCTAATAAAGGGCCGGGTCCATCATTTGATGATCAGTATCCCATTCACTTACAGCATGTAATGGTTATTCCCTTCACTGCAAATGTACCCTTTGTATAACTGTAAAATGTAGGTTTCAGTAAGGTGGTAAGACGCCACTGTGCCAGCATTGAACAGAAGAGATGCCAAGCCTCAAATAGACGACAGGTCAACAGCTTGCACAAAATTAATAAATGCCAGAGCGTCTAAAAAGGGAAGTTTGGTTGACTACCCCCATTATGCTTCAAATAAATACGTATGATATTTCAAATCAAATCAACTGTAATTTGTCTGTATATTGAACAGTATTGGAGCACATTTTCACAAGAACCCCACAAAAACTGCTCAAATCAATTATGTCGACGTGTTAATCGTGACACCAGTATCACAACAAACAGTCTGTTCCAAAACCCTTGAGTCTACTAGCTAGCCTGAAAATAAACCTTGGCATAATTTACAGAATATATTTGAGTCGTAATTTATAGGAGTGAGAGTATGGTTTTACTCCACATTTAGCATTATTCCAGCAATATCCATACTTGGGGACACATTCAAACCTGGTTTTCAGTGTGACGAGCGAACACTTTAACCACTAGGCTACTCTGTGGCCTAGTACAATGTGATCTCACAAGGCCCAGGGTTAGAAATTTGGCACTAGTCCTATAGTCCTTGCCAAACTGCCCAATAGTAAAGGTATCCTAAGGACTAGTAGAAATTAGCCATTTTTAAAGGTTTTGCTATATGATATCATTATAAGGACTAGTGGACTGAAACTGTTAGTTTCTACCGCTGTTAGACCAGAAGACATTTTACTAGACTCGGGCTTCGGACTAGTAGCTAGGGTTGCAGACAGATGTATCAATTGCTACTTAGTAACATAATGACCCCAAATTTGAAGAGCTATTGAATCAACATGATCAAACCACAACATTTTTGTCCGGCCTAATCTTACAAAAGTTGGTAACATTCCCTCCTCAATCAGCTGTTGAGAGGAAAGATACTGACTGTACACTGCACTCATATGACACTTATCTACTCTCCCTGACACTCAGACATGGCAACAGGCAGCCTACTACCTTGGGGTCAACCGTATCAGTCAATGAATTAACATGTGACAGTGCACATGGACTGGTGGACACAACAGGAAGTTTACAATATTTATACACTGAACCACCCTGATTTGTGTTTGTTCAGAAAAACTGCCAAAACATCAATAGGTTGTGTGCCTGAGTTAGCTGCAACTAAGAATAAGGACGCATAACAGTAGTATTTGTGGCGTCATAATGCCTATGATGTAATTGTGACAATAGAGGGAGAAGTAAAACGTAGTCCTAGGCGACAACACACGTTATGCTTTTGACGTCATAGCTAGTAATAATAGCAGGAGGCATGAATACATTATGGTGTGAGTGCACAAATACACATTGAGCTACATGGGGAAGGTTTGAAAATTATACTTTTGAATTAAGTTTAGGTTTCAAAAGCCTAATGAACATCTGTTCTTTTTCCATTCGTAAATGTTTGTCATTATTAAACAATTTATAAAACGGAAAGACAGTAAAATGACCACTCCCGCATTCATCAATGTCTTTGCTTACATTTATACAACGCACATTTGGATCGCGAATCTGTTGTCTGTGTACAGTGATTCGGTCTTTCAGTTGCATACCAGTTTCTCCAATATAAATATATATAGTTCTGTCTCCATTCAGAAACGTTTTCAAGTTACCACATTTCCTCGATTAGATGCCATGTATATAATACACACCTGCCTCTAATTGATGCTCTGTCCAAAAAATAGAAGCCTGGCCTCTGCTAGCCGATATGTCTCTAATAAAAGGCCGGGGCCATCATTTGATGAAATTAATTATCCCTATCACATTCACTTACAACATGTGATGATTATTCCCTTCACTTATAATGACCGTTCCTGCAAATGTACCCTTCGTATAACTGTAAAATGTAGGTTTCAGTAAGGCGGTAAGACGCCACTGTGCCAGCATTGAACTGAAAAGATGCCAAGCCTCAAATAGACGACAGGTCAATAGCTTGAACAAAATTAATAAATGCCAGGGCGTCAAATATGGGGAATATGGTTGACTACCCCCATTATGCTTCAAATAAATAGTATGATATTTCTAATCAAGTCAACTGTAATTTGTCTGTATATCATGTGTATATTGAACATTCTAAGTTGTATAGAGCACATTTTCACAAAACACCCCACATTTACAAGCAAACATATCAGACAAATTGTCCCGGGACATATCAGCATTTAATTCACTACATCTATGCTGGAGAGGAAGGAGTATGCAGGGTGTTGAAAGATAAGCTTAATCGTATTAAAGATATTTTATAACTATTAAATAAGAGCAAATTTAACACAGGGTTTAACATTACATTTGAAGGATACAGCATAATTTCACATGGAACCAAATTCAAAATGAAGAAAGGATCTTAATTAAAGTCTCGTCAAAACCAGACCTGTTTAACTGCAATAGCGTATTATACGTATGATTTCCCAGCAAGTTGGCAGACATTCTTTATAATTAAATGAACTACTTGAAAACCAATAATGACTGACTCCTTGGTTGGAAACAGAAACAAGAAAGGAATCTATAGGAACAGCCGAAGTCAACAGTGCCTTAACCCGTTCTAAATTGAACTTTTAAAGCCATATAAAGGGTGTGAATTTCCAGTAATTAAATATTTACGTCTAATAAATTAATGTGGTTCTGGTAGGTAGGGAGGTAGCTTTTGTAAAAAAACACTTGCAACTTCAGCAGTGTTTGGTACACATACTTTCATGTGTGCACTTTGTTTTGACGTTAAAAGTGATTACCACTGGAAAATATGTTAGGATCAGCACATTAAATTGTTATCAATCAGGCAATTGGGGTGAAATGTATTTCTAGGTCTTAGTAAGATTAAGAAACAAGGCAAGGTGAAATAAGTGACCTATGGCCTGAGAAAACAGTATGTATTAATTATAACTTGCTATTCAGATTTCAATTTAAAGAAAAATAAGTGTATGCATATCCTTTGTTCAAATTAATACATTTTTCAGAAACTCTACATGTCTTAAGCATATCTTAACATTAGTCACACTGACTCCAGCGAGTGAACTTGTGCCAAGTTGTATCTGTTTATCAAATGTCAAACACTAACATAGATGACAGAGTAACATATACCAGGCTTTGACAAATATACTGGCCAACTAGACAAATGCTAGTAAAATATTAATCCTGGCCACCACTTTCTTATTTCTACTGGCCCAGGTGACTAACTAGCGCAATACATAGGGACTGTGCACTAACTTCAAACTACCTTAGCAAAATCTCTGGTTAAATTTATTGATTTAATGACTGGCATTTTTAGAAGTTGGTAAGTAACAGTAAATACAAGATATTTTATTTATTGATGACAACTTCTTTATTCTCTTATGATGCAACGTTTCAGTATTCTCTTCATATTTGCTTGACAACGGTATCAGGATCTATACTGAAAGTCGGATCATAACAGTATAAAAAAGTTGTCATCCATAAAATATCTTGTCTTTACTGTAAATTGAACTTACCCCGAAATTAATTTTACAGCTGAAAAGAAATATTTGACTAGATGATATTTAGTTGTGAGTGTCAACAGTCAACTTTATAAAGAAATGTTGACTTGTAAGTTACTTCTTGTCATATCTTATGAAAAAGGGTCTGTAAATAATAATATCTAACAATGATAAGTGCATATATCAAGTTGTGGACAAAGTAGCCAGTGGCTATTTTCTATGAATGTCAAGCCCAGTATATCATGGTATATTAAAGTCTGGTTTTGTTTATGCCATATAACATGTCAAGTTACTGCTGAACTGTTTGATTAATGTCAAATGAGCAATCATTTATTGACATGGCTTAACTCTTCACTTTCACAAACAAAATGGCAATCTAGATTTAAGACATTAATGCATATAAAAAATCCTTGCAGAATGGTTATTACACAAGGCTAAACACAAGCAAAATCTAAATTTCATATAATACTCTACTGGATAGCGACCAGTCATCACCAAGGACCAATTATCGCCAACTCCCCATCATAATGCGCACGTGATCACATCTCATTTTACTTTTGCTCGGTTTCATTAGAAGAGAGAAATATTTATACAAAAATGATAAACAAAACTGACTCTTGAGAAGAAATATTAAAAAAAACAACCCATATAATCACCTTGCTCAAAAACAACTTTAGAAGAGACACACGGGAGGAGTCACGTGACTAATTCACATGTAAACAAAAATCCAACGACACGATGATACACATTCAGTTCTCTTATAGCTTACAATCTGTCTGTCATTTCCTTCCCAAATTACAATTCTAAAACCTATTTGAGCCAATTTTCCAAAGATGCATAACACTGTATATATATTGCAAAATCCATAGTACATAGTGTTGAGGATAAGTATGTGTAAATCGAATTTGGGGAATATTGGTGTACGTTAGTTTGTAGACAACAAATCGATAAAAGAATTTCTTTTCAATCGAAGCAGTGTGTGTGATCACTTGGCATTAGCTGTTTAGATGATGGCGACACCAGGTACAGTTGGTCCACGAGAAATTTCTATTTCCAGTGTAGTCTGTTTTCATTCCCTCTCCCCGCGTAAAACAGAAATCTACTGATTTTTTTCCACAGACAGAAATACAAACATTTGCTCACAGTTTCACACAAATCAAAGTTATTTGCAGTTAACTTAGTACACAGAATATTTCAGAAATAACATGAATAAAAAGGTGATACCTGGTCAGTGACCAGCACTCAGAATAACGAGTCAAAAGCTATGTGCTAGTAGTGAAACATTTTTGGGACAGCTTAAGACGTGGATAACAAACAAATATAAGAGATTTCCTCCATGTTTAATTTGAGTGCAAGTAAACAAACATGTCAAAAGATCATTGTTAAAGGTAGCTTAGGATGTCTTAAATAATGTGACTCACAGCAACTGTCACAGATAGATTCTAGTTCAAATAATTCTAGGCTTTTCAAATGATAATGTGATAGATTTAGAATCGCATGACTGAATGACATTGTGATTCACTTATTAGTGACTTACATTGAGATTTTATGAACATTATTTTCAATACAGAAAATATATTCAAATAGACGAGGGAGAGCATTTGGTTAAACTGCTGAGATGGAAGGCTTATATAATTAGGCCTAGAACCTGATTAAAGTTGCAAAGCCTGTCTGTCTGACTGGCGCAGTGATGAAATTCAAATGACTTGATTAAATTGTTCAACTGAATGTGTTCTTTCGTCACACAAATATTTACAATGCAGTCAAACACAGTAAAAGTATATTCACGTGGGTTCCCGTAAGTACGCAAAAAAAGTCCTTATATTACCTCTATCATCTCAACTTTGGCAGATCAGTTGCTAGGCCCAGTCGGGGTTACACCCGATCAGTAAAACGAAGTTCTGACGAACTGATGGCATATTATTAACTGAAATAAACGAATAATATTCACCTTGACAATTCGAGAGATGTAGTAGACGAAATAAACTCCTCCACAAGCTGCCAGGAGTGAAGCAGACGGGTTATCACGAAAGATAGTAAGCATTTTACAGGCTTTAGTGCTTCCGACCTGTCCGACAGTCATAACCCCTGTTAAATTCTCTCGGCAAAAGCGGTGCACGTTACTGTGGCGCCCGTGAAATATTATCCTATTTCGAGGGTCCCGTTAGAATCTCAGTATATTACATTATGATATTGACACTCTATTTAGGGGGATCAAGCTAAGGAATTACATTTGCCGAGGAGATTTAGTAACTTTGTTAGGAAAAGAGTCTCTTTCCTATTCGTCTAATGACGACACGCCCACTTTTCATCGGGAACTATTTTAACTGGTGACCGGTTCGTCTGCTATTTTAGTTTCACATTATGGGTATTTTCCATTATCTTCACGGTTTCAATAGTTGATTATTTAATAAAAGAAAACACTTGTGTAAAGTATTTATAGGAGTACTTATAAGGGATAATAATAAAATGTTTCATATAGATAAATTCAAAAATTCTGTAATACTAGCAAAAACATATGAACGGCATATATTATAGTAATTACCTATTTGGTACAAAATGGACTCATCCGTCTTGGGGATTCCAAAAGACGGAATGATATCTGATACGCAAAAGTATTTAGCAAATATTGCACACCCGAAGGCATGCATACAAACATCCCTATCAATCATTAACTATCTTTTCTAAAACTATATGTAGGAATTATACACCAAGGATGGTTTCCTTATGCATAATATTCAGGTAGAATGATCAGGCACTATTGTGTCTACATAATTATATATAAATAATGTATTATATGCCCCCAAATTCCCCCCAAAATGTATACGTATTTTATCATTTTCATTCACAACAAAGAAATATTTGTTTGACATAACAAATATTCGTTTTTCCCATTTATATCAATTTATATTTAAATTTAAATTTCTATAAATTGGCTAAACAAATATTTTTTTCTTAAATATTAGAACAATGCCAATGCACATTGACAGTTTTGTAAATTTAAAAAATATAAAGGTTGATAAATATTACTCTCGACTAACAATTGAATACTTTCGATCCTACAGTCGGAACAAATCGGGATATTTCGGAAAGATCACTTGAACGATCGCTGCATCGCACGTTCCGATTGTAATTATTTCAAGATGGCTGCGCTGTTTGGAACTTCGACGAGTGGCCGAACCCAGAGTAAAAATCTGGTTGAATTTAGGGCCGGTAAAATGTATATGAAGGAGAAAATGGTTCATCCGGATAAGAGGAAGGGTCAAGTATATGTGTATCAGTCTGATGATTCTCTTATGCACTTCTGTTGGAAAGATCGAACATCCGGCAATGTGGAAGATGTAAGCCATATATTATACTTCTATACAACTCATTCTATGTACTATACTTCAGAATTACAATATTTTAATTTTTTTATATCTACACTGTTTGTTCACCTCATCATAAATTTTACAGAAGTAATTTTAAAATTCAGCTGTAGTAACTAATGCTTTTTTCAACTCCTTTGGGCATGACGTTGATTATCGAGTTCACAATTATGAAATGTTGCATGGTAGATGGTATTAAGGAGAACACTATGACAAACTCCACCACGGCGCGTGGCATTGTTGCAGTGGAGGTGGAATATGGAGAATAGGTAACAAGATCACGCTGAAGGGAGCTTGATAGTTCAAAATTGCCATATCATTCCACCGTAGTTAGTGTATTACTGTTAATGTCAACTCCTTTTATTATCAATGATGTAGACCTAAGCTCTGAGTAGAATAAATAGTCATGATTAACAAATTAAAAGTTTAAGAATGAATCGTAGGGCAAAACTTGATCACACTTGGTAGGTGTTTGGGTTATACTTTGGAGTTGTGTGTGAAAAACACCCTTTGAAAACAACTAGGCCTAACCTATACAAAACGTGACAAAATAAGACCGTTGTCTCTCTTTTTGGCTTTTTTAAATGGGATTTTAACAAATGAAAATTTAGGAATAAAATGTGACTTTTTGTTGTCATTCAATAAGCAAGGTTTATCTCCAACACATTAGAAGTGCATGTCAGAGAAAGAAACTATATGATGAAATCTGCCCATGTTATGGGTTTTCAGACGCAAAGAACATCCCTCAAAGATGACTTTATCTAAAAGACAGGCCATCATCTGAGTACTTACAATGTCTGTGTGACGCCACACCCCTTGTTATTGCGCGAGTGATCACGATAAACATGGCCGTCCGTAAAGGTATGATGAGTGAAAACCTATGATCCGATGATATATATAACTTAAAAAAACTCAATTATGGGTCATGGTTCTCAAAAGGGTTCAAGATCATCTCTCTCTCCTGATCACTTTAACCTTGAAGAAAAATCTTGGACCTCCTGAAGGGAAAAACAAACAGTATTAATTCCGACTTAATTGGGGCTGCAACGAATACACTATGAGGCAAATACGATTCGTATCACGAATATAGGGTAACAAATACGAATATTAATTCATGAATACCATAACCATGATAACAAGTCAGCAGTTGACGTATTATTTGTTATATTCAGTGGAACAATAACAACATAAATTATTTGACATGGTTTGTTAATTATTAATATATTATACATTGATATACTGCACTTATCCAGGTTCTAGTATCTGCTTAAATGCGACAATGGCCAGTGACCACAATACTGTCAAATTAAATATTATGAGAGTGTTGTCTTTTCAAGACATCTATGCATATGATATGTTCTTATGGATATTTTTAGGTACAGGGTATGTAAATGCACATGATTGCATATTCGATTCTAGTTGCCAAGAAAAACGAATTCAATTCATGAATGGGTACGGTTCGATTCACCGAATACACGAGTGAATCGTAACAGCCCTAGACCTAATTGATAATTACCTTCACAGAGTCATGTTGGTCCACAAAGAACATGAGGTGGTCGGGTAGCCTAGTGGTTAAAGCAATCGCTCGTCACGCTGAAGACCCAGGTTTGATTCCCGACAAGGGTACAATGTGTGAAGCCCATTTCTGGTGCTGTCTGTCGTGATGTTGCTGGAATATTGCTAAAAGCAGCGTAAAATCAAACTAATTTTCTCACTCACTCACAAAGAAGACAACTATAAACACCGCATAAGAATTTGCTCACGTGAGGCACTGTCTTCATGAGCTGATGAACGTCAACAAATACAACTTCAATCCTTAATTGAAAAGACATTTCAGCTAAAAAGGAAAATATACATTCTCATCCCTGAATATGTGTAAAGCAAAGAAAGTGCACACTGATAAATTTGAGTCAAATGCTATACTTACAACTATTTGATAAAAGCAAAAAATTCAGTATTCAGGTGTTATTTTGTACACCAGGGCTGGATTCAAGAAAATAAACTGTAATAACCACAACAGATTAATCTAGGCATGTTAACGAAGTGCTCTAGTTTTAGTGTTTGTTTAACACCACACTCAGCAATATTCCAGCTATATGATAGTGGTCTGTAAATAATCAAGTCTGAAGCAGACAATCCAGTGATTGAAACTATGAGCATTGATCTATGTAATTGGGATACAATAACATGCATCAGGCAAGTCAGCGAGCTTGACCACCCGATCCCAGTAGTTCCCTCTTACGACAAGCATATTTGCCTCTATGGCAAGCATGGGTTGCAGAAGACCTATTCTCTACCTGGATCTTCATGGATCTGCTCTAATTTGAGATTATTAACCCTTAATAGTCATCAACATCAGTTTCTTATATTGTCACTGTAGCCTCCAAACAAAATATAAAATGACAATAATATAATAATATAACTTCAAAATAATCCACAGAAAGAACCAGAGGCAAATGGTTAGACAAGCTTTAGTACTGGTGGTGATTTACCTTTTTACTTATAAGCAATGTTTAGCCCTGGACACTTATTTTAGGGTTTAGCTCATGCTAACAAGGCAAAAAAGACACAGTATTGAAGAAAAGAGGTTCATAGTTATCAGAGAATAGTATAGCCACTAGTCCAAAGCCCGAGTCAAGTACAATAAGCATATTCCAGTCCATATGCTGAGACTAATATATATTGAAAATAATGTCAAAATAAAGGTTCCGGCTTTTAGACTTACAGGTTTTAGGCACTGTAGTGGTTGTGGCACAGACTGTAGTATGTCACATAATAATTAGACATTTTGTCTCCCTAAGCTTGACCCATGCTTTGGTACTCGAGTAACCCATCAGAGCCCTAATGCCTATGTCTTCACTGTAGGACTGAATTAGTTGCAAAATAGAGAAAATCTAATTTTCTCATTATTCACAGTTAGAAAAGACCAGCCAACTCCTCCCTGAACATGAACGAATTTCAAATGCCTTATTTTTTTAGTTTTTCTACACCAACTAACTTGACAAAGCCAGCATGAGTGACATCCTATCCGGGTCTGAAATTAACATAAGTCTGTAAAGAGGGTAAATTCTTTGTTCTCGGCCAGTTTTGTTATTAGTTAGATGGCAACTCTGTGGCAGATCATTTTTACGGACTTGTATTAATAAAATGACAGCTAGTCTTTTTGTACACATCAAAGAGATTATGACACTACAGTAAAATCTGATTTTAACTGCATTTGTGTGAGTTTTGTGTCATTTTCTACTATTGTTTTTGCTCTGACAATGTCAGTCATATCTAGTGTCATCCGTCAACCAGTTTCTGAAACTCAGCAGAGTAAACTGAGAGCCTCAAGGGCCAGCACATCTGAAAAACTGTAGGCCCAGCGGAAGAACTGTGGTCCCAAACAGGAGCAGGGGAACATATGCTTGCAATATAAATTACAAAACACAGCCAGTCAACCAGAAACCTTTACTGCTATCACACCGAGTTCCCAGAGACTCTGGATGAAGCCCACATTTATTAAAGAAATTATCAGTTTGTAATACATCTTTGCTGCTACATGTTGTATATCATTTGTAAGGTCTAATCCGACTGTTTATAAATATGAGTGTTATGTTTATCACATTATCTAAATAATGCACTAATATTTTAATTAAGTTTGTTTTTAAAAATTTAAGCTAAAACATCCATAACATCCAGATTAAGGACCATGGAAGAGAAAATTATGGCGATTTTTGGCAGTTTAAGATTTCATGATAGAGCTATCCACTACCGACGAGGTAACTTGTTTCTTTTTCATTTTCATTGTTAAAATCATCGGAAAACGTGCAAAGATTCGGTCGATGTTTGTTGTCGTTTGAAGACTGTGAACATGAATAATATTACAGAAATCTCGCCAGGAGTATTTTCGTTATTGTAACGTGATTGTTTTGGATAGAAATTGGTTTCTAATGATGAAAGTCTTTGTTTAAATTGTGTTATTTTGAATGTATTAAACAGGAAATTGCGACCTATGTTTAAAATATGGAACTTTTAAGACATATCATGCTAGGTTACGACCTGTGACAAAGGTTTCTCATGCATGTAACATGTGACGCTCAACTCGTTATTGCAAAAGCTCATTACCTTCATTGTGGTAGGCTTTAGTTTGCTGTCCTTGTTATTTATTAAGCTTGTCTTCATAAGGCTCCCACAAGCTGAGGTCTGTAGTTCCTAATGAAGTACATGTAATTTGATAACATAGTATATCATATATTTGAATGTGCATAGAAAGCAGTGGTCACACAAATGAAGGCAATTTGCCGATCCATGGCTAATTGTGGAGATGTTTTTGTCATTTGAGTTAACAGAAGCATTGATTAGAACACCCTTGCTCTTGGTTATGTTCCTTGGTCCTTTGTAATGAATGCATTGATGCTTGTCTTAGTAACAGTCTAACACTGTGTCATTTATTGACTTTGGCAGTACTCTCCTAATTGCAGCCTTGCCTGCGAACAATAAGTGCTTGACCAACAGTCTGTTACAAAAGCTTTTGTCACTATTAGAGTCTGTTTGCCACAAGGTTGTACCTAATTATTTTTGGTACGACGGTTAGAAGTGTATTCATTTCAAGTGTTCAGATGCACCCTTTTGAATTAAGGTATGCTAAGAACAGGAACAAGAAGGATACTTAACATGCTTAAGCTGTTGTAATTTCGAAAGTTTGCCTCTTCCTTTTCATTGATTGACAATACCCTATTAGCTTCTAAATTGATTTATGTATAACAATTTGTTTTCACCCATAAATTGTATTTAATGTGGTGCAGGATTTGTATGTAGCTGCCCTCTCCATTTGTTTCAGGACCTTATCATCTTCCCTGATGACATTGAGTTCAAGCATGTCCCACAGTGCACCACTGGGCGTGTCTATGTCCTCAAGTTCAAGTCCTCTACCCGCAAGATGATCTTCTGGATGCAGGTGAGATTTGGGGGATGATAAATAGTAATAACAATGTGTCTATATTTGTTGCGCTAGACTCCATACAGAAGACACATGCACAAAGCGCTAACATTATTACCCTGGTCAATGGATCAGTGTGCACTCACTTTATATTCTATATCTTTATCTTTATCTAGGAATTATGGGCAGCACACTCTATTTTGAGTTGCAGCTCTTGCTAAACAAGGTTTAGCTGGTTGTGGGTTTGAATCTGTTTCATCCTGATTATGATCCTTGGTCAGAACCATGTCCTGCCCATATATCCGCAGTTTCTATACCAATAGTAGAGGGGCAGTGTAAAGTTTGATTTCAATGAGTGGACTTTTTGAGAAAATATTTTATTAATTTGATTGCTTACTTTTTGTCTTGACTCTTCTCCCACATTAAGCTGACTTGCCATGATAGGACAGAAACACTTCATCAAGTACAAAGTGGTATTGAATCCATTCACTCATACAGTTATCTTCATGTCTACGTCTGGGGTCTCTGGGTGAAGTGATAGCCAGCATTATAATGATAGCCAACATTATAGTGAAAGCCAGCATTTTAGTGAAAGGTCTGCAGTGTTTATCAGTGCAGCTATCCACAAAATGTTTAGGTCGATTCAGCTGGTTATTGATAAGTTTTGGTCAGATGGAGCAGTGAATGTGGTTTTGATCTCGTGTGGATACCCTTTTTATAGGATATCATATCATTTCTATCTAAATAGTACTTTTCAATATATGGATGAAAACTTGTCATGTTAACATGGTCAAAGAATTATTCAATCATTAAAGCAAACTGTTAGAGACTCCACCAAATATATACTGTATACATGGTAGACTACTAAACTTGAGACCGCCTCTGTGGTCTAGTGGTAGAGCGTCCACTCGGAGTGCGGAAGGTCCGGGGTTCGATCCCCGGCCACGCCATATCAACAGTCGTTAAGAGATGATACTTGTTGTTACCCTGTCTGGCGCTTGGCAGTAAGGGGCTAAAACAAGGACTAGTCGGCTCGGAGTCAGAATACTGTGTCTAAGTGGGGTATTCATGTTAAACTGTGGCATGGTATGGGCTAGCACTATAATCGGCATCAGTCCGGAGTAGTACAAGGAGCCACACACACACACACGTGCATGCACGTTGCTATATAAATGCAATAATCTTGGATGCAACTTTAAACCCCAATTCACCTCACTCAACTTGAGAACCTGTGAAGATTCGGGCTAGAACTGGTCTTCAGCATCCCATTTGTCCTAAGAGGCGACTAACGGGAATGAGTGGTCAGACTCGCTCACTTTGTTGTTGCGTGTCACCGCATGTTAGTTGACAAGAATATGAAAATTCAGCTGTTTGTTTTCGCAACACTGTGACAGCAATGTTAATGTATTGTTGGTGAAGTCCTGTTTAAATGGTTTCATTGGTCTGCTGCAGGAGCCTAAGAGTGATAAAGATGAGGAACATTGCAAGAAGGTAAATGAGTACCTCAACAATCCTCCCACCCCTGGATCATCCCGTGGAGCTGGAGGCAGTGGTTTGCCATCAGAGCTCTCAGGTCTTGGTAAGTCATTCCACAAGAAGTAGATTGACATAATTAATAAACATTATGTATTTACAAGTTAGCCGGAGGGTCTTCTTGCGTATTCGTTGCCTGGGAATTTGATTTGGAAATAGTGCTAGCAGGTTTCAGATGTTTAATTTTACATGCATATTTTCGGAAAAAAACATGTTTATTGACATTGTCAATATGAAAGGTAATTTTCTATAGCTCTCTCTTTGTACATTTTCTCATACAACTTGAATGACATGGAATGTCATTTCAATTGTTATAGAAACTAATAGATGGATCATGACACCATAAGCTTCCATGGCAACGGAACACATCATGTCAATGATGTATAACAAAGTCAAATTGTTCTCTGACAAATATTTATTAATTGCAATGTGTGTACAGTCGAACCTCGTTATCTTTAACACCATTTTCTCGAATGTACCAATATCTCGAACCTAGTCTCCAGTCCCGACTGCCTTACTATATATTACTACGTATATCTGTCTGGATATTCATGCCTCATTTTCTCGAATGTCCGGATATCTCAAAGTTACAACATGGTCCCACTGGTTCGAGATAACAGGGTTCAACTGTATATACAGTAAACTACAGTTTTAACGAACTCAAAGGGACCACTACATTCAGTTCGTAATAACTGCAGTTCATCGTAAGCATATGAACAGTAAATGGCCGGGACAAAAAAAAACCAGTTCATTATAAATGTAGTTTACTGTTTACTATAATTATGATTAAGGATCTACCATGTTTTTCAAATTTGGTCCCAAATTTCAGTGCTTTAAACATGTTAAATACTATCTAAAATATTTTCTACTAATCACATTGGGACCAAACACTCCCATTCATATTGTATAATGCCCTCTAAGTGCGCCAACATGTTGATAGACAGTTTTATGTCATTGTTGTCCTTAAAAATAGGACTAAAATTGATTTGGGTAAACATTATTCTGAAACATTTGTATATTTGTTTGTGACCTGTAATCAGGTACGGAAGGTATATCCTTTCAAATCTGTTTTCAGGGGAGCAGGATCTGCAAAGTATTCTGGGAGGGATGAGCCAGCAGCAACTGATGCAGCTCCTGGGTAAGGCTGTGGCCAGGAGAATCCTGGATGATTTGTATTGTGTCTATATAGAATGATGTTTGATACAGTGATGGTTAATGTTTCTTCACTATACAACACCATATCATTGTATATAGTCTGTGTTTCACTGTACAAGACCATCTCCATGGTCTTGTGGTAGAGCGTCTGCCCGGAGAGTGGAAGGTCCAGGGTTTGTTCCCCCGGCCACGTCCTACCAAAAGACATTGTTCTTACCCTGCCTGGCACTTGGCATTAAGGGGCTGGTTGGCTTGGAGTCAGTGTACTGTGTCTGAGTGGTGTATTCATGTTAAATTGAGGCATGGTATCTCAATGGGCTAGCACTAATCTGCATTAGTACAAACTAGTACAAGCAGTCACACACACACACGCACACACCACACACACCACACACACACACACATGCATGCATGCATATCGCTATATAAGTGCAATAATCTTGATCGCAACGTTAAACCCCACTTCACCTTACCTTCACTGCAGAGCAGTGTTGTGACTTGGTCTGTGTTTCAGGGTACAACAGTATTGTGACATGGTTTGTGTTTCAGGTGGTGTAGGTGTTGGAGGTCCTGGCGGTGGCCTACCATCGCTCATGGTGCGACCTGGTAGTGCTCAGTCGACTGTTTCAGAACCGTGAGTACAACTGAAACTTTCAGCATGTTAAAATTACATAGCATGTCAGTCCTTCAGCTGTATAGCTACATCATAGCTACAGCGTTGTTTTCTATGATTGGTGTAATAATCCTAAGCGGTCCGTTGCTCATTGTTGAAGTGCTTCACAATAGAAAATACACACTATTTTTTAGCCTTTTAGTGATGTCAATCACTGTTTTGTCTGGTCCAGACTTGATTATTTATAGGCTGACATGTAACCAGAATATGAACATGATGAATGAGATTTTAAACAATATTATAAACAAACAAGTTGGTCTTGGATTAGATTTGGGTTACTTGTCAACTACTACGGACATTTGTCCATTGTTCATGAGCAAAAGATCTAACTCTTCCTTGTATTTGCATTTTAGCATAGGAACTTATTAATTGACAATTGCTTTAATCAGAAGTTGTAGAATGTGTTTTGGTGTTATGTTTTCAATAATTGGGCTAGTTTCATTTACAGGTTAAACCCTCACATTTTGATGTATTTTTTTCAACCTATCCCCAGTGAACATTTAAAACTTTTCATTTTCTCTTACGAAAAAGCTTGTGAAGATCTTCAGTAACCCATGATTGATGTAAGAGGTGACTAATGGGATTGTATGATCAGGCTCACTGACTTGATGAATGAATTGCGTAGATTGATGCTCATGATGTCAGTTACGAGATTGTCTGGTCCAGACTTAATTGTTTACAGCCAGCCATCATATGGCTGGAATAGTGCTGAGTGTGGCATTAAAAACAAACGAACATTTACAAATATGCTGACTGTTCCAGGCCAATGCGAGCTCAGTCCTCCAGTGGAAGCCGGAGTACAGCAACGGCCGACAGTGTGATGTCCCAGCCCCGCCCCTTGACAGCAGCAGCCCTTCCCTCACAGCCAGCTGCCAGCACTGCCACGCCCGTCACACCCTCATCAAGTGGGAGTGGGACTGGTAGCAGCGGTACCGGCAGCAGCGGTACAGGCAGCGGCGGTACCGGCAGCGGCGGGGGCAGCAGTAGCAGCAGTAGCAGCACAGCGGCCGCTTCCACCAGTGGAGGTGCAGGAAGGCCACAGATACAGCTCAGTGATCTACAGAATATACTCTCCACCATGAACGGTATGTAGGGACCTATGCTTGTTGCGTGAGGTAACTGAATTGCTCATTGTCTTCCTTGGTTGATAGCCTGTCTACGTACTTTGGCAGATTCTTGCTCATCATATCAATCACTGGATTGTCTGATTCAAGTACTTACCGACCACTGTCACATAGCTGGAATATTTCTGAGTTGGTCGTTAAGCAACAAACAAAACTGTATGCAAGTTATAACTAGTTGGCCTTGTTCAGAACTATGGGCTATTGGAGTATTATTATTTTTATGGTTAAAACATTTCTTGGGGATTATGACATGATGCAGTTGGTGAACTGGGAAACATTGCCCAACATTGTTATCCTATTCTATTCACTATTCTGTAGCTTAGATATTTTATCAAACACTGGAAAACAATAACTAACCATGTTCATATTTGTTTTCCTGTTTTTCAGTGCCAGCTTCACAAAAGGAAGGTATGTACAACAATCTTGATTATTAAACAGGGGATGTCATGTCGAGTATTGTGGGTGTTGTCATTAGGTTTTCTGTGGGTGAAAACATTACGAGTGTTGGTATGAAATGGATTAATGAGGTACTTTATGTTTGCTGTTATTAGTGGAGGAGATGTATTTCTTGAAAACAATTATTTATATTTACCTGACTAAAACCCCTGTGAAGATCCAGGTCAGAATTTGTCTTCAGCAACCCATGCTTATCATAAGAAGCGACTGACAGGATCTGGTGGTCTGACTCGCTAACTTGGTTGAAGCATGTCATCGTGTCCCAACTGCGTAGAACTATACTCATGATGTCTATCCAGATTTGATTATTTACAGACAGCTTTCATATAGCTGTAATATTGCTGACTAAAGGTCCTCATGTCTAAAATGTTTGAGGAGTTGCCTCCCTAGATTTGTTTGGAGAGCTAAAATCCAAATTTTGCCCAATTATGAGCCTTGATCTATGATCTGTTAGCACCTAAGCATTACTTACGGGTATTCACCTGAGTCATAAGGGTCCACAACCTTTTTCTGTTTGGGGTTTTCTCCGGCATATTGCTGAGGTGCCATGATGTTAATGACATAATGTAAACACAACTCACAAATCAAATTTAAAACATGTTACAAACCAACGTCATTTACTTTTGCTATAACCTCATGTTCTAACCTTGTACAGGTCTAGACCTTGCCCAGGCACTCAGTCCCGAAGCTATGATCCCCCTGTTGGCCAACCCAGATATCCAGAAGAAGCTGGTGGAGTTCCTTCCAGAAGGAGAGTCTCTTCCCAAAACCGAGACTGAGCTCAAAAACACCATACAGTCCCCCCAGTTTAGCCAGGTAACTGATCCTTCTGACTGACATGCTTGTTCTGACAATATGATGGTTTTGTCCTACATGTGCATATCCAGGGATAGATATTAACACGAGCCCAGTTGCCCAAACCTGTTTCATTGATGTTAAAGGTATCCTAAGGGCTGGTAGAATTTCGAACATTTTGTTCTTGTATGTTATTAGTATTTGGGCTGGTAAACTTTCTTGGTTAATTTCTATGCCTGGTATCTGGAGGGAGGGGGATGCAAGGTCTCCTTATAAAAATGACTTGTGACTTTGTTATATAATTTAAGCATTCATACTTTAATGTTCACCATCATAAGATACAGATACACTCTGAATCTGAATATACCCGTGATAATTCCGGGGTAGAATAGGTCTTCAGCAACCCATGCTTGTTGTAAAAGGTGACTATGCTTGTCGTAAAAGGCGACTAATGGGATCAGGTTGTCAGGCTCGCTAACTTGGTTGATGCATGTCATCGTATCCCAATTGCGTGGATCGATAATCACTGGATTGTCTGGTCCAGACTTGATTATTTACAGTCCGCCGTCATACAGCTTGAATATTGCTGAGTGCGGCGTTAAACAACAAACCAACCAACTGAATCTGAATTATATCTTGAAATTAATTAATACAATCTATGCTTTGAGTCATGCCTTGTGTTCAAGTTATCCTTGAATGTTTAAAAGTTATCGTTGAGTGGTAATTTCTTGATTTTGATGTGTTGTCATCCTTTGGCTGAGTACCTATAAAATATTCGTCATCACAGAGAGACATTGGTAAAATATAACCAAGGCATATGCTCATCAATGAAATGCAAGGGCAAGATAAAATTTAGATATGAAATTAATAAAATATTTTGGCGAGACTTTTCATAAACGCTTTTAAAAATCTAGGTGAAACAGATTGAGTGTTACTCTTCACTGAATGTTCCAGGCCCTGACTTCCTTCAGTGCAGCACTACAGTCCGGCCAGTTAGGTCCGCTGATGACACAGTTTGGGCTTGGGGAGGATGTCGCCAACGCTGCTGCAGAGGGAGGTATGTTACAGATGGCATAGCTTCATCTACGCACGTCTCCAACATTGTTTCAATCAGGGAAGGAGTGTCCTGAGAATTGGACCTGTTTTATACATTTCATATTTAGATTGATATTCATTTGGCATCATTGTGAATTCTTCACAGGATTGTTTCCTCCATCACCCTTGACTACTTACTGTGGATTTATGTAATAGTGACACATGTCTGTTGGTTTATTTAGTCAAGTAATGAAATGAGGCTGTGTAGAACTCAGAAATCAAATGAACCCAATTTGTGCATGAATTTTGTGAGAACCCTACCACTGCCCGATATTGAAGGAATACATTGAGTATACGTCCACAAGGCTGTGGTATATATGCGGGAGAAATTCTGCCATGTGTAATCTGAGCACTCATTGGTCTGAACACTCTGGAACCAGGCCTTGGCTTGATTTGGTGATTACAAATAACGACTACCCTATGGGATGGGTGTTTTACAGATGATGAAAGAATGTGGTGCCGACAAACCTGTGATGTATTAATGATGTGTTGGTATAAAAAAAGGTGTATGAGTTTCTATCACTTTTAAAGCTTTGATGTATGAAAAAATCACAATAGGTTACATGCATTGCTGAAAATATTGGGCTGTAATTGGCTGTGCAGAGTTGCATCCCTTGGACATGCTAGAAACCTATGATTGTGGTTTCGAATTCCGGTTTCTAGATTTTCAGCACAATACCTATGCTAATGTGTTTCACCGAAGTGGTAAACGTCTGACACCAGGATCACTTCGGCCTTCGTTCCACATTAAGCAGCCATTTTCTCACCCACACACTATTGCCTGAAATTGAATCTGTTTGGCGACCACGATGTCAAGTGAGGAACATTCTTGATTTGTTATTTATGAGGATAAATACACCACAAAGTAGACGTGTATTGTCTGGTGATGGAGGAACGCAGTGTATACAAACTCCTGAAGTACTGACATGTAGGGGCGGTCGGGTAGCCTAGTGGTTAAAGCGTTCGCTCGTCACGCCGAAGATCCGGGTTCGATTCCCGACATGGGTACAATGTGTGAAGCCCATTTCTGGTGTCCCCCGCCTTGATATTGCTGGAATATTGCTAAAAGCGGCGTAAAACCATACTCACTCACTCACTCACTGACATGTAAGTCAGCGTCCAGTTTTCATTCGCACCTGAAACCCTGCATTAATATTGCTATATTGTGTGATGTTGCAGACCTGGAAGCGTTTGTGAAGGCCATGCAGGAGGGCATGAAGAAGAAGAACAAGGAGGAAGACAAGGATAAGGACAAGGGGGAGGAGAAGATGGAGCAGTGACGAGGCCCACCCTTCCATACACAGTGCTGCACACTCCATGCTGACTCCCTGCTTGTCAAAAACTATCCTTTGCATGATTTTCTTGATTTTGTAAGTCATCAAATTTCAGGGTTCGAACTTAACACTAGCCTGCTAGCCCGAATACAAATTGTGACATCTCCCCATGTTTTATCTTTACAAGGGCATTTTATCTTCACCCGGGCTAGTAGGGTTTAGTTCTAACCCTGAATTTGAAATAATAAATAGCCATTTTGTATTGCATGGTTGCATATAATAATCATACGGTTTGGTTCTCATATCAGGTCTTGAATGAATGCTTAGCATTTTCTGAGACCAAAATATATAATGATCGGGAGGTGCCACTGTAGAGGCCACTAGCTTGGTTGTTTATATAATTCATTTCAAATACAATACTGATGATGTGTGCCATATGATGTGGTTTACAGCCAATAAAATGTATTGATATTTATTGTTTCTTTTTACATTTATGTAATTATTTATTATTAATGTCAGTGTCTGCCTCTAGGCCCTCATTGATATTTGTTTCGTTGTGGACTTCACTTCCAATGAGTCTGTATTTATCTCCAACTACTATGAAGGACAATGCCCTTTGGTCCAACATGCAGGATTTGATCAAGTACATAAGTATGGTATATATTGCTGAGTGCAGAGTTAAACAACAAGTAAACAAACACTTACTTATGAAAATAACCATGGGACAGTGTTGCTCATGTTTTGTGTGAAATACTTCCTAAAGTCCTCTCAGTCTTTACCCTTTACTTTCAGTTTCATAATGCAGAATTTCAGAATTCAGCGTTCCTACTGGGACTGGGAATAAATGTCATATGTTGAAATCATTTGGCAATGGTTCATTTCCAAGTGGGTTATCAACAGATTCTAGGTCAGAATAGGTCCCAAGCACCCCATACTTATCATAGAAGCAAACAACCTGTGAAGATCCAGGGTAGACTACGTCTTCAGCAACCCATTCTTGCCATTAAAGGCGATTTTGCATGTAAGAGGCAACTAAGGGTCGGGTGGCCAGGCTCGCTGACTTGGTTTATGCATCTCATCATATCCCAATTGCGTGGATCACGATCCACGTCTGATGGACATATACTACACTTTTTGTAGGGACATTTTATTTTCATCTCCCCATGATGCACAAAAGTGAATCACATAAGAAGTAAAGCATGTATTTAAATATATGACATATCTGATAATCCCTATCAAAAGTTGAGTAGTATAGATGGAATACTGCATGACTGCCTGGTAAACATTCACCATCACACAGTTTACTGCTAAATCTCCTATAATTACACCATCGGAATACACGACCACGTATTATGTACACTTGCTCAAGTCTCTAAGGAAATAATTCTATAATTTCTAGATTATATAAATAATAAGAATACGTTATCCTCATACTATCCCCTCATCTTTATTTGCCTATTATAAGGATAGCCTTGTTACCTTATACCCATGGACTTATCATTCAGTACAGCCTTGGAGCAAGGTTTGTTTGTTTGTTTGTTTGTTGTTGAACGCCACACTCGGCAATATTCAAGCTATATGACGGTGGCCTGTAAATAATCAGACATCTGTCTGGACCAGGCAGTCCAGTGATAGATATTATGAACATCGATCCACTTAACTGGGATACGATGACATGCATCAACCAAGTCAGCAAGGCTGCCCACCCGATCCCGTTATAATATAGTCGCCTCTTAAAAGAAGCATGGGTCACTGAAGACCTATACTAACCAAGGTCTTCAGGGGTCGTATATTGAATCAAGGATGTAATGGGCAACATGTACTGATCCGGTACTCTTAAGTGCACTTCCACTAAGTCTTCCTGCAATGAATATAGACTTCCGTAAACAACGATGTGATGAACTGCTTACGGCGAAACGTATGGTTGCCCTTGATTATCATTAGAGGGAATTTCACAGGAAGACCAGCGTGGAAGATAGTTGATCATTTGCCCTGATCATGACCCCTGGTCCGTCGGAATAATGTAAACTACATGCGTCACCGCCGGTTCTCTCCACAGGTTAACCTGATATAACCCCAATAGTCACCAAAGCTTCGTTAAATCTTACTCTCTGTGATTTGGTTTTGAAATAGCAGTATTAATTTAAGAGCCATTTACCAAATCCACACACTGTTCGCTTATCCATCATGCGAGGAATCCGAAATCCGAAACCTAAACGTTCATGATTGAACACAAGCATAACAATCATGATTCATAGTTACATAATAAAGAAACAATCGGGGCGAACCAGCTGAACCTTGATGAACTTTGATAAAGCAAAAGCTTTTTGGAATGGTCCTACGTCGTGAAATAATATAAAATGTATCAGGATTTACACTTTGATTTCAAATGAGTTTGACGTGTTAGGAATAAAACTTTACGCCAGTCTAAAAGACCAGGAAAAACCCCAGCAAATATTAATAGACTAGTTGTAAGCTGGAAAACCTGACTCCCAACAGGTAAATTTACAGTTTAAGAACCATTAGTATTATCTACTCAAGCGTCCCTTAGGCACACCAGAAACCTATGATTGTGGGTTCGAATCCCGGTTCGCCCCGATTATGTTTTTAGGTTTGTCAGTACCATATCCGTTTTGTGGGTTTCACCGAAGTGCTAAACGTCTGAGACCTGCATCACTTCGAGCTTTCCTCTCACATTAAACTGACACGCCGCGATATCACTGGAATACTGTTAAAAGCGCCGTAAACCAACTCACTCACTCACTCATTCACAGAAATGTATCAATAACCTAAACAAACATTCCTTAAATGTATTTTCAATGACAAAACTGACAGAATAAAAAAGATGTAAGATTGTTACGTCTTAAAATAATGGGCTTTATTGAATCCTTATAACTTTCAAACTTGAGACCCGCCATTCAACCTAAGTTTAGAAACCTCTGAACCAATCCATATATAAATGATTACTTCAGACAAGGAGCTTACATAAACCACGAATTATCAGGTTGCCAATTTCTTATTGGAACGAAATATTAGAGATATGGGGGTAGATTATTCATAAAAGGTATGTTGATCCCAATATATGATGGTTGAACCGAGAAGACTTACTCATCAGTTTGAAGAGGTAGACCCTTCTACAGAGCACAAAGGTATACATACTCATAATCATCATGAAAGATATGTGTTGTTTGACTGAATTCAATCAATCAGTTTATTCGGTAATAAGGCTTCAGGCCCACGTACAGATATATACAATTTAGTTTCACATCAAGTGCTGCATGAAATAATATTTACAGGTAAGAAGAACGAAGACAGATAGCATCTTAAACATAAGATTGATTTAAAGAAAATCTATAATATTAAAGGTACTTTCTTAGATTAACAGTGAGTGAGTGAGTATGGTTTTACGCCGCTTTTAGCAATATTCCAGCAATATCACGGCGGGTGACAGAAATGGACTTCATACATTGTACCGCCCCCTTAGATTAACAGAATGTTGATACAAACTGTCCACTGTCCAATTTGACAAGTGTGCCAGTTATCCCTTGGCTGGTCAAAGCTAAAACATGTAGTGCTACGGTCGTAAAGACAAGGGCTAGGGACATTCTTCATTTAAAAAATGGTCTCATCCTTGTGATGGGCCTCTTAAAAAGGTGCATGACCCTGACCTTTGCAGTGGAGAGAGCTTTGCCCTTTTGGCATTCTCTGGTATGTGTATTTCTTATTCAAATCAATGTGACTTTATTGCATGTTTATTTTTAATGTTTTAAATAGCTACTTTTCCTTTACAACCAGTGTGCACAGGGTTTAAATTTTGTGAGTGAGTGAGTGAGTGAGTATGGCTTTACGCCGATTTTAGCAATATTCCAGCAATATCACGGCGGGGGACACCTGAAATCGGCTTCACACATTGTACCCACGTCGGGAATCGAACCCGGGTCTTCGGCGTGACGAGCGAACGCTTTAACCACTAGGATACCCCGCCGTGATTTTGCTGGAATAGTACTATAAGCGTCATAATACGATACACACCCCATGTAGATATTTGTAGCAAAATTACGAGTCAATAGTCTTGCACACTGGCTGAGAAATATTTGAATTCAATGTATTCAAAACCAGTCTGTATGATGACAAATAGGCAAGTACAGCAAGCTATATTCCAGCTTTATCACATTTAGAATTGCTCTTATCTAAAACCGAAAAAAACAAACATAGACTGGCTGTTCGACAAGTGAATATTCAGGTAACCCTATTAAACGACGTGGTTCGCGGCATTGATGGTGATTTGATTGTCTGCTTCCATGGAGCCACGTCGTCAGAAATTGAAAGTATTTCTTTTATCGCTTTTCGGTGACAAGCACCGCTCTAATAAGCGCCCACGGCGATAATTGCTCATATATTGGCTAGTGAACAATCCCAATTAGCACCCCTTCCGATTGTTTAATGTACACAAGACTTATTTATTCGCGTATAATACGCACTCGTGTGTTATATGCACCCTTACTTATGGGCAATTAAATTCTGAAAAAATATATCTGTCGTATATAAACATTTCAGTCTGTCAGCATAAACCGCGAAATTTATCTTTCAAATCTGTTTTTTTTCACCAAAATAATATTCTAATAAGAGCCACCTGTTTCTAATTTTGAGAGCGCCCTAGGCGCTTATTACGTCGAATACGGTACTTATATTTTCAAATCAGTATAAAATATATAACACTACATCCAGTTCCGGAGGGGATTTTCAAAACAGGCGTTCCATGAATCTAACAGTGGATGTGTCCTGGAAGCAGATCAAACTAAAAGTCCCTTGCGTTTCCAATAATTCTTATATTTCTCTACTGGTTCCTGGCATTGGAACAGGCCCCTTTATAGTTGCTAAGGCGATGGTTGGAGCCACCTTGGTGTGTCTCCTACAAGATCCGAGGATGGTCTTCGTTGTCTCCCACATTGGTCTGTAGAGCAGAAGGTTAAAGCATATCCTCAAGTTCGAATACAAGTTGCTTAGAAAAATCGCCACATACACCACGTAATTGTGTCCACTGGCGAGAATTGGTAAGCGAAAGAAATAAGTTATATGGTAAACTATATATACAACACTGTTACAGATGGATAAGATGAAGATGAACTTGGCTAGCTTCTGTCTCTGGTGTATAAGGCGACTGGTGGATCCATTCGGACGCGCGCGCGCGATTATCATGGCAAGAAACCAAGCGTTTGCAGCCGCAGATCCGATTCCAAGAATCGTGTACAGAACTGTCACCCAAAGAGAAGAGAAGAATTGGCATCCGTTTGCTGCCATGTCACTGTTGAAGAAGGGACTACAACCTAACAGTATGCTCAAGACCCCGGAGCAAATGATGAACACTGTTCCCCTTCTTTGATTCATCAACTCTCTGTATCCTGAGATCTTGTAGATAGCCAGATGCAGATTGAGACTTATACCAAGTAGAAGTAAAAGTGACGCAGTCATCAA